CTTCTTTGAGGCTTCGGCCACAAGTCCCTATGTCCAATTTACTGAATAAAACCCTAGGCCCAAAAGAGGCTAGTTGATTATCAAAAAAAAAAAAAAAAAAAACATCTTCTGTGTTTTCTTTCATAAATTCTTCCAGAAAAAAAAACAAATTCTCTTCACTAAACAAGTTAGTGCCATCTTTCACGGAATTTGCTATTTGATTAAAAATTGACAAAAGATCTTCTTGGCTAATATTTTGATCTACATAATTTTGTTCTAATTTAGCATTTTCAACTAGAAATGAATGCATCTGAGCTATAACCTCCAGGCATTCAATACTTAATCTAGAAAAAACAAACATTTTTAGCAATAATGTAAAATATAATAAGAGAGAAAAAATTAACACACCTAGTATATCTTTTTCCAAAATACCAGTTCAATATACTAAATACATGCTTATAGGTGGCATTATAAGGGAAACTGAATGTATTTTTAGAGTGAGAGTTTTGATATGATCTTCATTTCTTTTAAGGTCTATAGACATCTACCAATTAGTAATTGTATCAGCAGATGCAATAAATCTATCATCAAAGAAGGTTTCATGATTTTTGTACAAACTTATCTGAGTTTTTAAAAGATCAGCACTTATTTGACTATCACCTAATTGTTTCCATATTTCTAGTGCTTTTTTAAGAACATAATTTTTGTATGCGCCAGGCTCAAGAAAATTGCTTATTAAAAAAAAATAATAATAATAATAGTAAAGTGGAAGTACATTTTCAAAAGCATGCTATACGTATATAAACTAAATTTGATATATACTACACTATTAATAAAATTGACTATTAATCAATTGATTTAAAAGTAGATGTGGGTTATACTAAATTTAATCCTGAATATTAAACCTTTTAAATACTACGATAAGTCGGGTGTAAAAAAAAAGCCAAAAGATACAATTCTACATCAAATTCTTTCCATCACTTATTATAAATAGTGATGCAATCATGCTGAAATTAACTATTATATAAAACAGATATCTCTTGGATTGCAATTGCCATTTTTACCAGTTCAACAAATATATCTGCCAACACAGTGGTTCGAAATTCTACATTTTTTACAGCTCATTTTGCTGAGCTGAGAATATTCCGTAATTGCTCTATATCAATTCAAAATTGATGATCATTAATTAGATTTTTTACAGAATTTGCATGACTAAAAATTTGAGGTTCTTGTTTTAAAACTTATTAAAAAATTAAAATTAAAAAGTGTAAGTAAAATATGGTCATGAAAGTACAATTGTGTTATATGGTCGCATAGAAAAAAAGTTGGTAGTACAATGATATAGCAATAGAAATATATATATATAATATTGTGAAATAGGAGTAAAATGAGATAATATAAAAATTGAATAGTAAAACTTGCAGATTTAATGTTTGTTTTGTTACATAATATAGATTCACAAGAATCCCATGCCATTGACTACTGGGTCTTAGTTGTTGATTTTAAATTTCTATCAAGAGTAAAGGTATATATAATTTCTTCTCTGAGAGCAGTGCTAGCAGAGTAAGAATTCCTAAAAAAAACTTATAATTGTTTAACAATTAAATAAACCTTTTTTCACATGAGGTAATTTACAAATACTGCTACAGATAAGCTGGATGTAATGCACAATGCATCTTATAGGTAAAATGTGTAGATATTTCTCTGTAACCTGTTTTTTTGCTGCTATCATCGACATTTCAGCATCAGAAACTATGACTATAAATTTTTTGGGCCCAATGTTTTCTAATACCTCTATGATTTTTTCAGCATTAAAATTTGCTGTATGTAAAAACTTTGAAAAATCTCATAATGAATGAATATACTGTTTCCTTTTATTTATTATTATAACAAAAGCATATATGCTTTGTTTCAATGGGCTGCACCAACTATCTACACATAAAGTTAAATTTTTGGTCTTAGATAGCTCATTTTCTACTTTAATTATGATATTTGCCACCTCTGAATCCAAAATTGATGATGCTAATATGGTGCGCTTAGGTGGATCATAACTAGGGTTTAATATCTTGGTATAATCTTTAAAGAAAGGATTATCAAAGGCCGAAAATAATATATCCGAATACACAATCTATTTAATTAATGATTGGTTGGCTCTTGTTTTTTTAGCCTTATCAATGGCTTCTTTTGTGTCATAATAAGTATCCAGAGACAACTGGGAATAGTTTGATTTTCTTTTTTTGGTGATGGCTAATTTAGAAGGTTCACTTTGAAGATCTTGAAGTACTTTAACTCGAACTTCTCTAGGTACTCTTCCTTTACATTTCATTGCAAGATAAGATTTTATTTCCTGAGCTCTTCCTCTAGCCCATGTATAAGGACAATACCTACAACTCACCTCTTTATGCTTCCCTAATCTATTATTTATAACATTAAACTCATCCTATATATTTGATAGGGGTCATCCACTATTATTTGATGACTAAGTTTGTATAGATGATTCAGTTTCACTAATTAAAAAAGAATCGTTTGAGGTTCTATTGCCATTCGTATTTTCGTTATTTGCAACATATTTTTTTTTTTTTTTTTTTTTTTTTTTTAAGCAGTTACGCTAGTGCTTTATTAAGATTTTTGAAACTACTACTGTAA